GCTCGATCAGTTCGTCCACCCGATCATACTGTGAAGCAGAGGAAGGACTCCTCCAAAGACCGTTCACAAAAGTCTGGCCATCATCGTCCGCCATTCCCTTCTTATCGTCCTGGTTTGATGATAATTCTCGTACCACTTTAAAATACTTGTTTTATTGGCGTTTTTCATCTTAGACGGCCGGAGCGATTCTGGCGAAGAAGGCAAGAATGATGGGGATCCGAGAAATGAGTTTGCTGCAAAACTCAGAAAATTTTTTGCAATTTCTCTTTTTGCCTACGGAATTCTCTATATGCTTGCGTAAGATAATGTTTTTTTTTCGTTTATTTATTTTTTTAAACGTTGACTCAATGTTATTCCCCAGTCACGCAACTTCCAGCCCAAAACCTGAAGGGCCGGTTGGCACAGAACCTATAACATGGAGTGAATTCGTTAGTCACGTATTACCTACTGGTCAGGTATGCACCATGTTCGAATTGTTTATAACGCATTTTCCTACAGTCTTCTTATAGATTCAAAAGATCATTGTTTTTCCCGAGAGAGATGTTGCATACATCTACACATATGCTGGAGCGAAGACCCGTACCGGCGAGAGGGTACTTTTTAAATATATTTTTCAACTTTTATCATATCATTTCTCTAAAACCAAATTTACGTTCAATCTTCAACCAATAACCATGATCTCTTTTTGTCATTGCAAATCTCTTCTTTTCATATGTTTTTGTCCAGTAATTTCTTTTGCGCTCAAGAATAATCATGAATGAGAGAGAGAGAGACTTGTTTTAGCGTATAGGGCATTCATGAATTTGGGCCACGTAAACCTGAGGTTGATTTGTGTTGAGAACCCTAATTTCCATCCCTCTAAACTTTGCTTAGGCTAGCACAACTTTCTTTAAATATTGCGCTTTGCCACAAATTTATATCACTGAAGTTCAATTTTGGCATCAGTACCATAGAAATGACAGGAAATATATTCTTGTCAATAATAACGCTTAAATACAGTAAAAAATACAGATGGCAGCAATCTATCGATTGGGAATCCCAAGTGTACCTAAGTTTGAAGAGGAAGTTCGTGCTGCAGAAGCTGCTGCTCGCCTACCTCCAGAGTACTGGACACCTA